GCCCCTGTCCCAGGACAGCCGCTGGTCAACCAGAAGCCAACTCCAACTGCAACTTGTGTCTGATCAGTTCGGGCATGGGCTTTCTGGGGATGACACACCAGAACCAGGATAAGGGGCAAGAGATCAGCCTCATCTCCCACTGCAGCTGGGGACAGGGATAACAAGCTGCGCCAGGCACAGGGAAAAAGCAGCACAGAGGGAAAACGCCTCAGTGCCCTCACCAACTTTCAGATTCATTCAACAGTGCGCTAATACTGGGACCAAGGTGTCTGTACAAAAAGTCAAAGTCCTAAACCCAGCATCCCCTCAAAGAGTAACAGCTTGCTCAGCTGAGGTTCAGAACTACAAAGGACCCTGAACATTAAATTTCTTTCAAAACTTCTTGGGGTAATAGGTTTATCCTCCTACATTGGCACAACCAGCAAGAGAAGGATGCTTCATCAGTCTTCCTTTTCAGCAAGGGGAGTCCCTGACAGCCATGGGAATGTGGACAACTCCAGAGCCATTCCTCAGTAGGCCACCTCATGCTTCCTTCCAGATAAATGCTCCAGACCTGGATCATGTGTATGTGTCACCCATGCTAGAAGGGCAATGGGGACTTTAAAAAACTGCCAATACCCCTGTTATGTGACATTAGCTTGAACCTTGCTTCCTCAACCCTCCTCTTCTCACTGACCTCACATCTGATTTCAGATTAAGTCCTGTCCAGGGCAGGACAAAAAAGCACAGAGAAGTGACAGATTTTCTTTTTCAACATGTATTTTAATTTGCTTTGCATCAGTGATTAAAGGATCCTGTGCAGCTTCCACCCCTTATTGAGAATCTCCCTATACAAGTTCTGGCAGTGCATGTGGCCAGGCTGTCCAACTGGTCCCATTTGCCCTCCCTGCCCAGACTGGTTCCTCTCTGAAGGCAGAAGGGTGCTGCACAGAGCCCAGAGGGATCCCTGCAGCTTCTCCTGCATTCAGGCTGTCAGGCACAGCTGCTCCCTTCCCACAACTGTTTCCTGCTCTGCTCACCTGCAGATTCAAGTTGCTTTGTTGAACTCTTGGAGTAATTGATGTGCTGGATTAGGCACACTTCACATCACACCTCTTCAAAACCAGGCAAGGGCTCTTCACAAACAGCATTGTTTGGAGTTCACCACCAGCAGTACAATTAGCTGATTTACCAGCCAGAACACAAAGCCTTGCTTACCAACAAGGCAATCAGCCCAACCTTTAGATGTGACTCACAGCAAAAGCTTACCTGGCTGTTTGGATCTCCAAGTAGGTTACATATATGTGGCACTATCTTACTCAGCGTTAAACTCTGAGCTCCAGATCTGGGAACAAGGAACAAAAGAGCACTGGTGTGAATCACAGCACAGACCTGTGTAAGTAACGTGGGTCTGCAAGAAGTTCCGACTTACGCATTGAGTGTTGCAATAAGGCAGAGGCAGATCCCTTCTCTTGTCCGAAAATTCTTGTGTTTGAATCCTCCGAGCATCCTGTCCCACACATACTGTGGTAGACAGAAAAGAAGATAAAACAGGAAAAAGGGAGGTAGGGAA